AATAGAAGGTAGCAGAATACCAGTTGGTGCCTGCTTCTGAATGCCATTGATATCGTTCGACTGATTGTCATTAATTTCCGAGTTTCGCTTTGTTCTTCGTTTCTGTCGTATTTTAATAACTCTATCAGTTGACGACAATGTCAGTAATTGCTTTTTATTAATCTTGCCTTTACTTTGATTTTTTAGTGACTCCCGTTTAAATACTTTTTCTATACTAGCATCATCATCCGCGTCTTGGACAATACTAGGGAAACTATGCTTATAAATGTGTCTTCGCTGAGGTACGTCTACGACTTTCTTAGTAGTGGAAGTTGCAGCTGGATGACCAGTGATTATTTGATTTTGAGTAACGTTTGATGCTTCAGTACGTGTGTCCTCTGGCAATTCCGTATTCATATTTGTGCTCTTTATTTCTATTAATTCGCTCGTCTTTGATACATTCTGTATTGTAGTACTCTTTATATTTGATTTATTGTTTGACATAATTAATGGTAACTCTTCTTGAAATTGTGAAGTTGACGTCATTGATATATTCATTATATCATCAGCTTCATTCATTGAGTCATTCTTTTTGTTGATTTCTTCCATTTTTCTCTTTTTTTCTGTGATAATTTCCTCATCCAGTCGTAAATTGTGTCGCGTCGATTCAGGTGTTGAATTAATTTCTTTATGAGAAATATTTATCGAATATATATCTTTAACCACAGGGACGACACTTCTCTGTTCTCGCACTTCACCTTGCGAATAATCTACACTCTGCCCGTCTTCATTGTTACCGTTATCATTTTCGTATATACTATCATACTCTTTATCCGGCTGTACATCATCCTCCATCCATTTGTTATCCTGTTTCCATGTTTGATCTACGTTCAAATTCTCTACAGTGTCTTCGGGATTATGTTTCTTATGGCTCTTGAATTCGTCAAAGTTCTCATATACCGCGTCCGAATCGTATTTGCCAATCTCGAGTAGACTATCTTTGTGTTTGAAGATGCTATCTTTCCGATGGTTTTTATGAACTTTTGGCGATCTCTCGGAAACGAGCGGTATGTTTGAATAAGTATCCGTGACCTTTAATCGCGAATGGGACTTCAGATTCTTCTCCTCTTCTTTTCGTAGGTCGACTGAATTATTGAACTCTACTGATTTCCAGTCCTCCGAGAAGTATAACGACAATCCAGGCGGGCCGACATGTTGACTCAAAGCTAGTAATCTCATAGTAAGCGTCGAATTAAATCTCAGGGAGCAGAGATCGGTGCGAGTTTGCGACATGAAACTCTGATCTTTTAAGAACTGATATTTTTCCTTGATTCCCTCGTAATTTAAACAGTCAGTGGACCAATGCAAAAACCAATCGTTGCCAAATCCATCGACAGTGACCGATAATCCAGACATTTGCCCACTTAAGCTATCCTCCATTGGTTTCTCGAGCAAAGCCTGCCCATTACGACCATCTATAACTGTAGCTACAGTGTAATAGTATGTGGACAAGCCAGTACCTATCTGATGCTTCACCATAAAGTCTGGTATATCATCGTCGTTATAATAACCGGGAATGGGAATGCTAATTATTTCAGAATTGGGAACCGTGTAATTCCAGATAGGCTCAAACGTAGTTCCATTGTATGCTATAATCGTAGAATTGAACATAGCAGCGACAATATCTTCAATTCCATCCGATGTAATATCGATTAAAATTGGTGGCAACAGTGCATTTTTGCCTGTGTTATGATTGAGCTTTTGTAATTGCTGCAACAAAAGTATTCAAAGTAACAATTAACGCGATAATCTTATCATATTAATAAAAGAAAATCTAATAGGCCTTCTACAATAAGCCATTAGTCACAAATCAGAAGTCAGAAGTTAAAAATTGACGATTGTGATTGGTCAATTTTTAGCTTCTGACTTCTGATTTATGACTAATGGCTTGTTTTAGAAGGCTCATAACAGATCTTGTTATGACTACATACCAAATCACCGTAAAATATATTAGCTTGGGACACTATATATAATCCTCCGGAATCTTGTTGACTGGTTGTAGCTAGAACGAATATATTTTCTCCATCAGGGTGCACTATAATTTGTGGTGCTACGAACAATTGCTCTGTATCTGGTAAATTCATATTGCGTATGACACTGCCACTTTTACCCGATATTACGAGTACATTACTTGCTTGAATATTGTCTGATTGTACAACATGTGATGCTATTACATCGGCAATACCATCGCTGTCCATATCAGCTATAAATCTTGCATCATAAACATCCGAAATGATTTGCAGCTCAGAAATTAGATCTTGAAGTGGTATCTCCCATATATTGGAACCATCATGGCCATCAATAGCTTGTAGTATTCCACCACGTCCAGATATGATACAATCCTTAACTTTGTCATTCGTCAAGTCTGCATCACAATCAACAGAAAGTATGGAATGGGCAGTCCAATGTGTCCAGATAGATTCACCCGTTTTACCATTCAGTGCTAGTACACCGCCTAGACACGGCGTTTGATTCCCAAAATATATAGTACAGATATATTCTGTATCCATCATATCCAGACCTGAATTTATAAATCAATAATCTTTACAGTGACTGATTAAATGAATAATCTAATCAGATAAAAACATTAATAATTCACCTTAGATTGTAAAGAAACATCATGTAAATGTCAAACCAAAATCTGTAAAAGAAGCAAATAAAATAAAAGTAGCCAATTACAAATCATAATGCAACATAGTATATAACACAGGAAATTATAAATTAAAATATATATGAAAAGAAAGTAAAATAAAATTAATCACAATAAAATAATAATCACAAAAAACATTCATTTATTTGAATTAAACATAATACTTTTTATACCTGTACTAAATCCCACAATAATATCTTCAATTCCATCAGAGTTAACATCATTACTCCTAAGAGGTGCCTCAGGTGTTAACTTTGGAAATGATCTGGCCCATAAAACACTGGACGAAAGTGAGGTACATGGAATTATCTCTGATTCATTTACAGGATTTTTTAGATCGTGTGACATCCAGCTTTTCAATATAGTTAATGGCATTGGGAATATATTTGCAGTAAATATACAAACTACAATTAAGCCTAACAGCACAATCAATGCTGTAGTTCCACAGCATACTGGCACGAGAAGCATGTTGTATGGGATCTTATGGTTCTCCAAGTTGCAAGGCTTTTTGCATTTTCTACGAGGTGCCATGAGAGGCTGTTTAACTCCGCCATCGTCGTCTAATTTCAATCCACCGTTTCTCCCATCCCTAATAAATACTTCATCATCGATGTCGGTGAGATCATCGTCGTCGAGGTTGTCTCTCACTGCCAGTTTCGGTAAAGTCGGATATACCGCTGACATGTTGTCAACACCTGCAAAAATACACTCAGAAAGTTAAACGAGAATTGTATATCTGTGAATTTGGATTACGAATCGAGCAATGGGTTAAAATATCAGCAAAATTTTACGAAACTAGAAACATATGTACATACCCGAGGATACGTTATTCTTCCTTAAAATTCTTTAACGCACGCAAAATTTCAACTTTTCCTGATTCTCGCACTGTACACTCACCAGGCTCACTTACGCTTTCAAAGAGACGTCATATGTTACTGCGACGCCTATCGCGATGTAAAAAATGTATACAAATAAAACATACTTGCACGTACACATCAACACAATATTTACGCAGAAAGAAGCTCGAAAAGCCTCAAAGCGGCCATCTCAGCATTCCCGGCTTTTTTCGTGGTGCCATCGAAACCATAGGTCTGTTCTCTGTAGCTGAACTAGTGTACACTTTTAGAACAAGTGAGATAGAAATACGTTTGATATTTATTTAAAGCAGGAAAGAGAGTTCTAGAGCCGTCTAGTGCAGGAACAGAAAACAGACCACATAGGCATAAGAGGTCTGTTCACGTTCAATGAAATCCCTAAATATTTTTGCACTTAAAATGAGATAGATATATATTTGGCTTTGAAAAGAGAGAAAGCGAAGATGCCAAGTGCAAAAAGTGCAAGCAACGCGAACAGACCTAAGGTAACAGACCCAAAGACAAAAAGACTGTATATTTAAGACAGTCTTAAATATAAAAATCGACTATGAATACCAGCCTTTTACTACAATTGGTTTAGGCACAGTTTCACAATTCGCGGTTAACTTTTAACCAAGGTTTAACTGAGTCCCAGTTTCACAACTGGCGGTTAAGCCCGGATCCTCATACAGGCAACAGGGCTTTGACACCGAACGCTGATTGGTAAAAAACGGACGATGGAGGTAAATTTTACCCCCACAACCGGCTTTTCACCAATTAGCGCTCGGTGTTAAAGCGCTGTTGCCCGTATGAGGATCCGGGCTGATAGATGCACAGTAGGAAAGTGCATATTCGGACATATTTGATTGGCTATTTCCAGTATTGCTACCGCCATTATGCGTATTGTTTCACCTTATATATTTCCACCATGGCCTGAGGCCTGTTCTTTTTGACTGAACTTTTGCACCAGTTCATCTTCCTTCATTTTCTCTCCAGGAGGAAAGAAGAGGAAGAAAGATGAACTGGTGCAAAAGTTCAGCCAAAAAGAACAGGCCTCTGTATGAGGATCCGGGCTAACTCTTAACCGAGATTCAACTTATTCAGTATCTCTTTTCAATTCTAGAACTGGAAAAAGATGAGAAATACGTTGAATCTCGGTTAAGAGTTAACCGTGAGTTGTGAAACTGGGCCTTATTTCTCATTTTTTTTCAATTTTAGAATTGGAAAGTGATAATGAATAAGTTGACCTCAGTTAAGAGTTAACCATGAGTTGTAAAACTGGGCCTTATAAAGCTTGGATATCGACGAGTGAAAACTCTGCTTTTTTTTTACGTGCCAACATAAAGCAGAGTTCTTATTGGATATCGCTCGTCGCTCATCGCGTCCAGTATACACTGTGCAGTAGCCAGTAGGCATTAAGCATTTCATATTTTATTTGCTCGGTCAGCGCCATCAGCATCAGTGGTGGTCAGCGGTTGGCGTCGTATACGATAGTATAGTGTGGTCAAGTGTGGTTGAATTGAGTGTGGTACGGTGCCGGTGACGGGTTAGTGTTGGTTAAAGTCGACGGTGAGACGTCGCCAGAATGGGTCCCGTATTTTATGTTATCTACGTCGCATTGTTGTCCACGTACGCGAGCGCGAGCACAGACACGAATACGCGACGGACGAAGGGCAGCCTGGTGGAACAACTGAACGAAGATAATTGGAATCTTATGCTTACTGGAGAGTGGATGATTGAGTTGTAAGTGCGACCGTGCACGTCGACATCGTTGTGGTTGATGCCGTGTCAAAAAGTGCCTGAATTTGTTTGTCCTTGACGATTGTCGTTAATTCTCTGGAGCTGGCGCCAATATTTGTAACACTTACTGTGATACTGGTTCTGTAAGACTTAAATTCATGTTGATTAAAAGACTTAAATAATTTCAAGGATTCAAAATGATATAACTTGTATAAAAAAAGAATAAATTTTAAATTTATTTTAACAAAAATAATCGAAATTTGCAAGTGTAACATGAAGAAAATTAAATTGTTTGACGTTTTTGTGTAAAATAGCAATTGCTACAATAATAGAGACAAAAATTAATAGCTAATGGTAAATTCAAATGTAATGTATTTTTTGTATTTTAACGTACTTTACAGAAAAAGCTGAATTATTTTTACTCATCAAAATCTTTGTTATTTAAACAATCACTGCATGGGTTTAATAGATCCACTGTCAGCTCTAAAGGAATATAATTGAATGAATTCAATAGATAATAGAAATATTCTTGTGAAAAGAATACGTGAAATACAAAGTCGTATAGTTAGATTTACTCTTATTAATATATATTAATATATATTAATGTATTTTGTAGTTAATAGCATTGTCTGAAAGCTTATACATTTAAACTAAGTTTTACAATTATATATATAAATCTGAAAAATAATAATATCTATAATGTTTAGAATTTAATATATTATTTATTAGTTATGCACCATGGTGTCCAGCTTGTAAAGCACTTGAACCAGTCTGGGAGGATCTTGCATCATCCAAAAAGGATTTAAATATCAATGTTGGAAAGATAGACGTAACAGATTCTCCAGGTCTTAGTGGCAGATTTTTGGTTACAGCTTTGCCTACCATATATCAGTAAGTATACAATTATACTAATAATTTATTTTGCTATAGATGTACATATATGGCAAAATTATGTTAATACCAAATATATATTAACATAATTATTTTTTAATATTTTGCAAATTAATTTGTATTAAATTTTATAATTATGTATCTTAGAATTAATTTTTTATTTCCTAGTGTAAACAATGGGATATTTAGGCAGTATAAGAGACCAAGAGATATATCATCATTGATCGAATTTGTATCTGAAAAAACATGGACGAAAGTGGATCCAATATCTAGTTGGAAAAATCCAACTTCATTCCACATGTCATTTTTAAGTCAATTTTTTAAGTTATCCCAAATGTTACGTGTAAGTTACACATATGCGCACGCGCGCGCGCGCGCACACATGCACACACACACAAAATAATATTACATCTATTGTAAAAATTTCAATGGAACATTACTGTTTTCACTCAGAATATCCACAATCAACTTTTGGAAGATGTTGGACTACCTGTGTGGGGTAGTTACTTGATTTTTGCTGCTGCAACAGTTGTTTTAGGCACAATATTAGGACTGGTAGGAGTGATATATTTTATCTTATGTGATCATAAAATTTATGTATCTAACAAACAGATGATATTAACTGTATTTGTGATTGTAGCTTGTTGTGTGTTTGATTGACTTCTTTTTCCCACAAAAACCGGCACAGCAACAAGGCAAGAAGAAACAAACTGGTGCAACAGACAGTGCTATTCAAGAGAAAAATTCAGACGAGGATGAAATTGCAGAAAACATTGGGGATGATTTAATAGATGAAGAAGAATCTGAAACAGAGGAGCCTGAAACGAAAGAATCTGAAGCAAAGGAATCTGAGATGAATGAAGTAGAAACGAGTGAGAAAGATAAAGACAGTAAAGCTGATACCAGTAGTCCTAATATTCGCAAGCGTAAGCCACGCAAGGCTGACTAGAGATATTAATTCGTTTGATGTAAATATTCAGCAAACATAAATTAATTGTGACTAGCCCTTGGTGGTATTCTCCCAAAGTCATTCCTGTGCATTGAAATGCGTCAATGCAACATACTATTGTTATTTCACATCTCAAAATATGGATAAGTGATATAGATTATCCAAGGGAACGATTCATAGATGTTTGCCGTCTCTTGTATGTTTAAAAATTCCAGTGAATGAAAATTTCAAAATATCATTGCCTATAAAAATTTTCTTATCTATAATACATTTTGGAAATGCAAATGTATACTTCAGATATTATTCAGTAAAATTTTAGGATCTTGCAAGTGTTCCTGCTGTCAAATGTTCTCAGGGCTTAATAGTTTCGTTGAAGCAATGAGAATATATAAATATGTTGGAAGGACCTTTTCAAGATCATGACAAATGCGTTTCAGATATTTTAACAAGTTTATTATACAGTAGTTGAAAATTTTTGAAATGGCAAAAAATGTTTGATCATGATATATTTACTTTTTGCATACATTTTCTATAAAACGTTTGAGACTGCAGAGTAAAGGCTTATAAATCTAAATACTTGTATGAACATTTTTTTCTTTAGAGAAGAATAAGTTTAAAAAATATTTAATATTTTTCAAATATTTATGTTTCATATAGTGATGAAAGAAAGAAAAAAATATTGAAGTCATAAGTGTAATAATATCATAAATGTAAGTATCTAATTTTTAGGAATTAGGAAAAGGAACTATAATAGCATTTATAGTTCTTTTACCTTCTCTAAGGTTACACGTTACAAGACCATTTATAAATCTATTTATTAATTACAGTTGATTTATAAAAATATTACAAATTTCTACTTACAATTCCTTTTCTTCGATTATGTTTAAAAAAAATATTTCAAAGTAGCAAAGAATGAATTAAAAACTACTTAAGAATAATTATTACTTTTATAAGGCTTATATATGCACACATTTTTCAAGTTTAAATATACATTGTACTTCGCAATTAAAGTCATTTAACATATAATCACGCATTCATTTATATAAGAGGAAAATCATAGGTCTTTTCATAAAAAAGCTGATAATCTAATTAAAATATTAATATAATATATTAATAGCTGATGTTTATTGTTATCAGACGTTAGGGATTGTCATTGCGTTGTTTCTTGGTGCATTTGGGGAGACATTGTTAACACTATTTGTATCATTCTATTCTTGTTTTATATCTAAACTAGGGCTCAGACAAAAGATTCGAACATGTTGAATGTTCGATCTATTCGAATAGTTCGAAGTTGAAAAAAATGAGCATCTAATTCGAATATTTCGGACAATTCAAACAGTTCGAACTTAAATAGTGATCAGGGTACCTATCATGAAATATGTCGGAATGGATTCCGATCGGAATTATTCCGTTTTCCCTAGAAAACACAATAGGCATCTAGGGAATAATTGAATATTTCCGATCGGAATCGATTCCGACTTGTTCTATGATAAGTATCCAGTATGAAATGTCAATTCGTTATGTCTGAAATTTGGACGGTCCGGACAGTAAACAAATATAGTATGCCTTGGAAACAAAAGAGCAGTTTTTCACGCGAGACTTGAATATACAAACATTACAAAAATGTCAAAAAGAAAAAGTCACGTGTGGGAATATTAAATTGTGCACAAACCGACGTAAAGATTTACTTGTACAATTAGCATATTAGTTTATTAGAAATAATTTTTTTCGTTTTTACTACACTCAAACGTCTTTTTTACATAAAAAAAAAATTTTCGATTTTTTCAACCCGTCACATTAGGAAAGTTATTACACATGTGTAATAATTTCACAATATATATAACTGAATGTGCATATTAAATTTAAATAAAATTCCTATATTTATTGATATCGTCCTACAGATATCCTGAGCCATCCTGGACATATTCAGGTTGATCACGACTTGTGATGTTTAAGTTCGAAATGTAATAAATTCGAACTTTCAGCTCGAAAGTGGGTTAAAATAGTTCAAACATACATTCAGTCCGAACTATTTAACGTTCAAACTTGAGATTCGAACTGTTCGAACTGTCAAATCGTCTAATATTTCCGAGCACTAATCTAAACTATGAAGATAGAATGACACAAATAGCGCTAATAGTGTTTCCTCAAACGCATTCTCCGATAGCTTTTAGTCATTATTATGACTAAATTTATAGTCTTTACTATAACCACACAAGTTAGTAGGATCCACAGATCTTAATTTGCCCTTACTCATTACCAATTGTTTGTCACCGAGTGTTCCATAAATACGGTAACAAAGCTTAAGAGTAGATTCCTGAAATCATTTTAAGACGAAAATCTTAATACCAAAATATTGAGGCCATAATAGTTTTTTAACTATAAGCATTTAGCGAATCATATCGTCTAAAATTCACGCGTTCAGATGTAGTTGATATTTTGCATTGTATTACACTAACGACACCCAAACTGACAAACTTTAAGTGATTCGCTAACTTTATATATTTAGTCTGATATCACATAAAAACAATAAAATTAAATCCGATGAACTCGCAATTTTTAATTCTGTTAATTTTATTATATAACTGATTAACCAAACTATTATAACAAACTCAATGATAAATGAGTATTGGAGTATAATGAGAAAAATGTGTGATGAAAAACGAAGACAGAAGGAAGATTTGAAGTAAAAAAGATAACGCATTAGATAACAATATAGAACTCGTTAGCTATAGAAAAAATGACCCTTGATCCTAGTATTATTAACTTTTGAATTTAGAACTGGTAATTTTATATTGTTTTAATACGGCTAATGAAGATTTTCGTCTCAAAATGATCTTGGGAATTTATCCTTAAGTGTTATTACGATCTTTACGAGACACCCACAACGGAATATCTTATATACTGATTTTTCTGTACGAATCTAGTGTTGTTTTTTCTCTATCCTAATAAATTATAAAAATTTCCATTATGATCTATGAAATTTATGATTTAGCATAGAAAGTGAGTAGCATTACTTTTTGTAATAAAACTTGAATTGCATTTTTATAAAGGCCTACTTTAGCTTGCTACGTTCAAGCTTGACTTAACTAACATTTATGTAGTATGAAAAAAGATCTTTAATTAGAAAGAACATATAACTATCTCTAAAGAGTTTCTTTCATTTCATTACAAGTGCGCGCACGCGCGCGCGCGCACACACACACACACACACACACACACAACTTTACTTGGAATATGAATAAATGCGAAGCCTTCATCCTTAAATGAGTACGATTATTGAATATTGCTTACATTTTCATTTTCTGTGTATATATTTGTACATGATTTTTATTTGAACAGTGAATTTTTGTTTTTATTATGCTTTATAACAATGTCTTCCTCATATCATTTTTAATATATATCCGATTAAAATTTCCTCAATAACAATGTCACTTATACATATAATATAAAACTTTTGTTATTTAATACCATCTTATATTATTATAATATCGAACTTTTATTACTTTGCTGTTCTAGATTCAAGTCGAATTTTCTGCTTTACTAAATATATTTATATTTAGGTTTTTAATTATTCATCTTCTGATAAATAGGATAAATGTCATCAATTATTAATATCAAGAAACAATCAATGTAAAACTAAAAATAAAATCACTGTAATATTTACTGCCTGATAGTATTAATAAATACAATTTAAATTAATGATTCTTTTTTAAATATCCATCTTGGTCCTATTTATATCAAAATATGTGATCGTGATTGCTAGTAATTATATATTTATAAATATATATATACATATTTATTTATATATTTATTAAATAAATAAAAAAGAGCCAAATATATGTTTGAGTTTATCAACATCTTGTGTATACCCAAGTAACATAACTAAGTCACGATCGTCACGATAACATCAAAATAACGTCAAAACGATATCATTTTGATGTTTTCGTGACTTGTTGTGTCACTTGGGTAATATTTTTCTTCATAAAATGAAAAAAATTGAATTCTTTTATTTCCGTGAAAAGAAAATTTTCATAATAAATATTAAATATTTGAGCGCCCGCATGATTAGTGCGTTTTCAAAAATCATTGAAAAAAGATGGAAGTCTTCGGATTTCTGTATCCTAGTCAATTAACAGACTTAAAAAGACTTTGTATGTATACTCGTGGAGAGCAATCATGTGACATTATCCTTTATCCGGAAATGTGAAAAGTGAAAAGTTTCACGCAATTGCAATTCATTTGTAAGTAGCGGTTGGCTGTTACATATGGCGGATTTCGGCAATCAATCAAAAGTTTCCTGCGTACGAACATATTTGTTATTTTCATCATGGCACCAGGGTATCAACATGAAACTTTATCCCTAGGATAAAAAGTGAAAAGTGAAAAATGTCTCCATTAACTTCAATGGTTAAAATTTTCACTTTTCACTTTCCATCCTAGGGATAAAGTTTTATGATTGATACTCAGGAGAAACCTCTGGAGCTTATGCTGGATTCACACTGCATCCGATTGCGTCGTACGACACTCTTCAACCAATCAGAAAACAGAATTCCGATAATACGAAGCAAAATCCATCGGAATCCTGTTTTCTGATTGGTTGAAGAGTGTCGTACGACGCAATCGGATGCAGTGTGAATCCAGCATTAGAACATATATAAATGGAAGGGGAATAGGGCGCTGCATGGTGAAACAAGGTGTACCATTTCCATGGTTGCGCAGTAGCCACCAATGGGAAAACGCAAAACACGAATGAACGAAAGAACACGATTTCGGGTCAAATATCTCATTGGTTTCCCCACCCCAGATTATTCCCTCCATTCACAGCCAGGATGCGCAATGGTACACCTTGTTTATTCCACCATGGGGCGCTTGATCGTGAAGCCCACATCTATGAGAGAGAGAAAGGTAGAAGGGATAAATGTTCGCAATGCGCATGCGCAGCACCGTCATTTGTGTGAATTGTGCAGTTGGAGTGTTTCTTAAGTTGGAAACACAATAGACACAGGCAACAGGGAATAACGAGCCGTCCAATCAGAGCTCTGGGATATAATATCGAACTTATGCCCCAAAGCTCTGATTGGACGGCTCGTTATTCCCTGTTGCCTGTGCCTATTGTCTGTGTCTATTGTGTTTCCAGCTTAAACCAACTGTCTTACTACCTTTCTCTCTCGCCATCGACGAGATATTATTAAAGACCATCAACCCTGGGCAAATTTTCGGCGATATAAAAAGGGACCAAAGGGCCCGGAGGTAATTCAAGAACGCTGACATTACCGACAATTGATATAAATTTGCTATTATTAATATAAATATTTGGCTCATGCATTATTAAAAATTCATGATTTTTTATTACATAAATGTCCCATAAATAAATATTCAAAGCTATAATATCCTATATATTGCAGAAAAATTACAATTTTTTCTCTGCAGTTATTATCTCTGTTGATAATCAAACTTTGACGATAACACTGAAATCACAATTTTAAAGAAAAATCGAGTATTATTAAGTTCTAAATGCATAAATACGTCTACTAAACTAATAAACCATAA